GGGGTCAGAGGGGAAACTCGGGTCTCCTGATTTCCAGCACAGCCTCTCCGTCCCTGCCGGCCGGTGCCAGGTCCTCTCACCTGCCCCTGGGATGGAGAATGCCATGGGCTTTCCTTTGTATTCCCGGGAAATGAGCCCGGAAACAGCCGCACCGACAGGCAGGGGCAGGGCAGAGGGCTGCTGAGGCTGGCCAGGCACCCAAGGCTGCCACAGCGGCTCGACCAGTCCCTCCAATGTTCCCCAGTGGCTTTCAGGGCAATGCAAATCCTTAGCCTGGCATTCAAGGCCCTTGATAAACTGACCCCAGCTCAACCTACTGACACCTTCCATTGATGTGGAACCAGTGGCCTGGTGGCCACAGTGCAGCCGGTCACGATGCCAGAAACCCCTTAGCTCCTTTTCAGCACAGGACTCCTAATTCCACCCATAGCCACCGTCACCATGGACTGACCACCTGCTACGGGCCAGACACTGACTCCTCAGGGGGACACTGCCCATCTCACATGATGGCAGCAATGCCAACTGCCTTGGAAATGAGAAGTAATGGGAAAACTGCCCACGACCCCAAAACACTGAAGAAAATGCTTATTTTTTTCTTGCTCTAATAAAATATTTGAAGTTTTAAAAAAATATTGTTTCTCCACATTTTGCTGGTGTTCGCTTGTCCTTCTGGGCATTCACGTGTCTGAGTGCAGCGCTGTTTCACACAGCAGCTCCCAGCCATCACGTCCGATCTGCACAAACACGCTCCCAGGCGGGCTGGCAGACAAGGGCTCATCCTCCCTGTTCTATGGAGAAGGAAATGAGGCACAGAGAGAGCAAGTGACTTGTCCAAAGTCACGCAGCAGACAACGAACCTGGATTCCTAACAACTTCTAGCCCATCTCCTTTTAGTCCACAAGTGCCCACGAGGAGCTGGGCCTGGCCCTGGGTATTCACCTGCATTAGTCTTCCTAACCCTTGAAGTGACCCCATCAGGTGCATGAAGTGGGCGATCCCTACTTTACAGAAAAAGAAACAGGTACAGAGAGATGTAGTACCTTGCCCCAAGTTGTACAACTTGTCAGTGACAAAGTCTGAATTTGAACTCAGGTCTTCTTCCAAAAGGAGACCCAAGGGTAGGTGGCCCCATGCTGGCAAAGGCATTTTCAAACAGAGCGAGGGCAGGGTACTTCACCTCCCTGAGCCTTTCCTCCTCATCTGAGATGTGGACACAGTAAAACCACACTGGGCTGTGATGGGGACCAAAGGATGCCACACCCCGCTCATCTCTATGTCCCTGGGACGTACAACACGCTCAATGCTGCTTAGCAGGTGTGCAAATGAGATGCCCGCCACTGCGCCAGCACATATACAAGCAGCATGGGTTTGGCTCCTTTCCCCCACTGGGGAAGGCTGGCATCGCAGTGGGACACCCCTGTTTTGGGAGGTCTCCCCACCAATACCCCTTTGCTTCTCCCTTGGTCCTCTCTGAGTCACTGCCTGCAAGTACTGGTCTTCAGCCCTAAAAACAGGGTGCATAATACCCACAGATGTAAACTATAGCTGCAGCCCCCTGCTCTCAGGTCCCCCTCTGTTGATCCCAGGGTGGCCACCCCCGGAAGTCCCAGACTGGCAACCACTGCGGGACCTAGTGTGGACCTAGAGTTTTTAACCTGCTGGAAGTGCTCAGCCAGGGCAGTGCCTTACACTGGCCAACAGAGCCAAACTTCCTTTGCTCATTAGCATGGGCTGCCACTTCCCACCTGGCACTCCCGAAACAGGTTGAGATGATGGTTCCCAGAGAGGGGAAACGACTTGCCTGGGCCACACAGCCAGCGAACCTCAGGGCCAGGCCTGGACTCGGAACCAGCACTCTAGCAAGCCTAGGGTGCGTGCCCGAGTGAGAATGGCAAAGTTCAGGGGCCTTTGCTGTTCCCCACCCAGCACCAGTCTGCCCTGGAGACGCATCTGAGCCACGGAAGCACCTCTCAGCAGCTGCTCCCCAGCGACGCCAGAGGCCCAGCCATGGGGTCAGGGCCCAGCCTGCAGAGGTTCTGCCAGGCCAGGAGGCAAGCAGAGGGGAACTTGGAGGATTCCCCTCCCTTTACACCAGCTGGCCCCTGGAAACCAGGACTTGGCACGGCCTCCTGGCAAAAGTGGCAACGGAAAGGAAATCCCAGGTGGCTTCAGTCTGGGCTGAGAGTGTTCGGTTCTGGGAGGGGCCCGTGGAGCAGAACCTTCAGGGGCAGCAAAGGGGGGATCTAGGGAGAGAGGGTCCTCTGGCAACCTGGCAGGTACAGGTGTGTGTGTGGGAGGGTCAGGAGAGGGTAGGAGGGTCCACTAAGGGAAAAGCACCAGGCAGTTTCCAGTATTCTTAGCCAAGTTGGGTTCACATGAGGCAGAAAAGAGGGAAGAAGGTGAGGTTTTCCTGGGAGTGACCAGAAGGGCCTTTGCCACCCTCTCCCGGGTGACGAGGAGTTCACGTCCCACACGCAGGAAGCTGATGTAACGCATGGGTGTGTGTACCCATGGTGGCCTGGGTGTGGGTGGGTGCAGGTGCATATCTGCCATGTTCATTTTAAGGGCGTGGGGCTTTCGTGTGCTCCTTCCCACATGTGTGCGCCCTGGAGGAGATAATGGAAGCAAGTATCAGCTGGATGAGGGCTTTGGAGGGAGCTGTTCTTGCCGACAACCACCTCCAATCTGTGTGTACGTGTCTAGATGGTGTGTCTTGGTGTTTGTAGTGTCCCTCAGAGTCAGAGGCAGGCGTCCTGGCCTGGGTGTCCCCGTGGATTCCTGTCTGGGTCTGGAAATGTTTGAGTAAAGTTTGAGTTTGTATCTGGCTGTGCCTGGGTCCCGGTATTTGCTCAGCAGCCTCTGACAACCGGCACAAAGGCCTCTAGGCCGACAGGTGGCGTAGAAGACAGACCTGCCCCAGGAATACTCAAAGGGCCTCTAGGCTCCGGAACATGACAGCCAGGCTGGGGGCAGGGCCAGGCAGACAGAGATTGGGAGCAGGGTCTCCGGTCTCCCTAACCCCAGGCCCGTGCAGATCTTGCTGAGGGGCTGAGGCCCAAGCAACAGAGACCCCCCCCCCCCCCCCCCCCGCCAAAAGGAGACCCTCTGCATTTCAAAAGGCCAAAGGAAGAATCCTCTTGTCCCCTGAGGGTGGCTGGGTAGTTAGAGCCAGAAGAGAGACCTCCTGAGACCCCTGCAGGACAGACACCCAGGGGCAGAGAGAAGAGGAGAGAGCTTTGCCCAAGGAAGGCTGTGAGCTGGGAAGGTCCCAGGGTGGGAACACCATCATGGCTGTGAAAAGGGGTGGCAACGCGAGTATGGGGTTCCAAGAGGGGCAGAAAGTCTGAGTTCAGGACCCTGGAGTGGAAGGATTCTTCTCCACCTCTATCCAGATGTACCCCCAGACAGCACAGAGCACAGGTCCACTGTGGACCACTCTGCCCCATCACTGACCCCTCCTCCACCCCACCACTGCAGAGATCCACATGGATCAGGCAGAAGGCAACTCTGTGACCTTGGGCAGTTTATTTAGCCTTTCTGAACCTCAGTTTCCTTATCTGTGCAAAGGGGACCTCAGCCCCTGCCTTGAAATATTGCTATGGATGGGAAGGTGCTCATGCCACTTGAGGATTAATCATTACCCTGGAATTCTTTCCAAGGCCATTAAGGTGCCCTCTCCCCTTTCCCAGATCCTCCCACTGCCAGGGGTCTCAGAGCAAGGCTGGGTCCTGGATAGAGAAGGGGGATCCCTGGGGCCAACTAGGCATGAATGACTACCCCCCCCCCACACACACACACACTCAGCTGCTGCCCTCAGCTGCTGTGCCAGACTCAGATGCCCTTCAGGGGTACCTTTGACGGAGCTGCTTCTCATTCAATAGAAAACTCAGGACTGTCCCCCATCCTCCAGTTTCTCCCCTCAAACACCCTGGGGAAGGAGGGACCACTGTCCTAGGCAGGGTAGGCTAAGAGCCCCAACCCCACTCCATTCTGGGAGGAAATGACACCTCATTTCACTTGCCCTCTGCCTTTCTCTCCTGCTATGTCCTGGCCCAGCTTCTCCCAGTGCCCGTCCTGCTGGCTTCGGACTTTGGTGAGGGAGGGGAATGCAGCAGGGAGACAAATGCCAATGTGCCATGTATGAGGGCTGGGGTGTCCACCCCAGGCCTGTGGTGTGACTCCAAGCACTTGGGGTCACGCACAGGTCCGGGTCTGACGACCATGGAGGGAGGGCGCTCACCTCCTGAGCTACTGTGTGTGTGCAAGTGTGTATGTGCAAATGTGTGTGTGTGCGTGCAAGCACGGCTACACACAGGGTATCTTCCCCAAGCCCAGGAGCCCCAGGACGGGCACAGAGGACCTGCGGGGCGCGGGGACCACCTTGTGGATTCCCACCGAGTCCTCAGATCCTGCGGAGCCAAGGGAAGCGACGAGGGGGCGCCCTACTGCGTGACGCGTGTCCTGCTCCCAGGCGGGTCAGGGACAGGGGGCGGGGGAAACGCGCTCTGTCCCTGAGGAAGCAAAGACATCACCACCCTCAGCTCAGGGTCGTTGGACCTGGGACCCCCACGTCCCTTCTCTGAGAATCGGCACGCCTCCTCCTGGGCGGTGTTAAGCCCCCCCACCCCGAAATCCAGGGAACGCGCCCACTTCTGCCCTCTCGGTGGTCCCTACTCTGAACCCAAGGCGCCCCCTCCTAGGGGGGAGCAGAAGGCGGTACCCCCTCACCCACGCCTGGGGGTGGGACCCGAGCCCCTCAACTGCGTCCTGGCCCCACCCCCGTAGGCGGAGGGCAAGGCCAGCTCAGCCCAGGCCTGGCCCCTCGCTCCCCGCCTCCAGCCGGCCAAGCACAGCCTGCACCCCTCCCGGCCCACCCCGGGCCCTGGGTCCGCGCCCTCCCCTCACCCGCCGGCGCGGGGGCTTGGCTGCCGGCCGAGGGGAACCGGAGCACCTCTGCGCCCTCCTCTTCCCAGGGCCGCGGCCGGGGCGGGCGGACTCACCCGCGGGCCTGGGCCGGGGGCGTCCTGGGCTCGGCACTCCGGTGCCCGCGGCGGCCGCTGCAGCTCTGCTCAGACGCGGCTCCGATCGCCGCCGCCGCAGTTCGGGGAGGGGGCGTCACGTGACCGCCGAGCGCTCCCTCCCCGCGCCGCTCCCCCCTCGCTGCGGAGCCCGAGCCACCCCCCTGCCCCCGCGGCGGCCGCCGCCTCTCCCGTCAGGCCCCGGGGGCGGGCGCTCTGGGCCCCCATCTTACAGGTGGGGAAACTGAGACCAGAGAGGGCAAGGTTACCCCGCTGGACTGTGGCAGGGCCCCTGCAAGAGCCCAGCGGTGCAGCCGATTCTCCTCGGGGAGAGGAACAACTTTGGGGGCAAATAGGAGCGACAGGAAAGGTGGGCGAGATGCCCTAGGCTCCCAAGGGTTCCGTGTGTCTGCAGGGACCGGGAGGAAGCAAAAGGCTCGCGGGGTTTGCTGGGCGAGGAGGCTGTGCCCTGGCGCCTGGTGCCGCTCCCCAGATGGTTGGCGGCTCTGACATCCTCCCTGGACTGCGCAGCTCGCTCCCCATTCCCGACCTAACCGGGAACCGACGTGGAGGAAGGTGGGATCAGGGCAGGAGTTGAAAACCCAGGCAGGATCACCTTAGTCCAACCTCTAGGCTCACAGAGGAGAAGAGACTTGACCCAGGTCACATGCAAGTGAGCAGCAGTAGCAGCGTGGCTGACACTTGTGGCTCCTGGGCCTCACTCCCCACCTCTCTGTGGTCTCCACTGGCTCCCCTCCAACGGGCAACCCCAGAGGAATCAAGGAAACAGGCAGTGTGGCTACCAGACCAGGCTGGGGGGGACAATGGGTGAGCGTATGCTTGTTGGTCCCAAGCTATGCCGGAGTCACAGAGAACACTGTTAGCAGGGACCTTTGAGACCTCTGGATCTCCCTCCCTTGCTCCAACAACTGGGGAAACTAAGGCCAAAAGGGGGTAGAGGCAAACCTCCATTTCATCAACCACTGACAATTAGTAGGTCAAGCGACAGGACCCCCCAAGGTCAGCCTGTCCCTAGGCCCTCTTCACAGATAGGACTGAGGGAGGACTCAAGTCTTGTATTAATTTATTTAACATATTTATTGAGCACCTGCTGTGTACTTAACAAATGACTGTCCCTTCCCTTCCCCCTCTATTTTCAAGAAGATATGGGGCCTTCAGCAACCCTGACATTAGCCTCTGGAAGATCTGAGACAAGAATGGCTGTATGTCCAGTCCCACCACCGCTGTTCCCCACTCCCCCCAAGAATCTCACCCCAACCAAGACATTAGAATTAAAAGGGACAAGCCTCAGTCCCTCCCGACCCCCCCCCCAAGCAAATGTGAAAAGGAAGACGGGCACTTTCCAGTCCCTCTCTGTCAAGTTCTCCCTCCTGCAAGCTCCCCCAAGCCGCGGATGAGAAAGAGGCCCAGCCCAGGGCTTCTCAAACTTCTAGATGTGGCCTGATCCCAATGCAAGACCCAATTCAGGGGGTCTGGGGCCTCAGTTCCTGCATTTCTAATAAAGCTTTGCAGTGTTGCTGGTGCTATGGGGCCACAGACATTCTGAGTAGCGCTGTGGAACAAAGTTAAGTTCAGGGCAGGAGGAAGACGGCTGCTTGCACTCCAAGGCAGACTCCTGCTAACTCTGGGCCCACCCCACTCCCACTCTTTGATTTCCAGCCTAGCATGTGACTTGGGCCGGGATCCCAGACCTTTCTCAGCATGCACCATGGCCACAAAGTTGGTTCGAAGTAGAAAGAGGGAAGATGAACCAGCATGGCCAAGGCACTTCTGGAGACGGTGCAGACGGGATTTCGTGGAGTAGCAATCAGCCCAGCCAGGTATGTTCTGCAGGTCACTGGTTCTGGAAAATGCTTGGTGAAAACAAATCCTGTTTGGGAAGGGCCCACTGAAAGCCTACAGACCTTCCAGGGCTGGGCTCCCACATCTCGGGAAGGGCATACAAAGCCCAGGGTTTTCTGAAGCATCCCTTTCCATCCTTTGGCTTCTTTGTACGCTTGGCCAGATGGATCCTTAATTCTGATCACAATCCCAGCGCCTCTTCCTGCTTCTCCAAAGAACCCTCTCCCTCTCCATGCTGAGACAGAGACAGTAGACTCCCAACTCCAGCCAGGGAGGCAATGCCGATGAAGGTACCCCACCTGAGCTGGAGCAAGGGGGCAGAGAGGCAGTGGGATGTGGGCATGCACTCAGTGAGGAGCTGCAGATGTGGCCTTTCGTTGTTTGGACCCAGCAGACTCCAAGATCCCCAAGGGCCCAAGGTCCTATTGGCACCAGGGCACTAGGGACTAAACGTGCCTGACCCTGGCTGAGCAGGCCAAAGCACGAACACTCTGCTGTGCCAGGCCTCTCTATTTCTTCTTTATAATCAAGGAGCTTTTCAATTACAGCATTTTCCTCTTTACAGAAAACCTCAATGCAAGAGCCTTATAATCTCTAGCCTGTCCTGGGGGGCACCATTCTGAGCCTGTCAGGGCCCCTGGGGAGAAGGCAACATGTGCTGTGCTGTAGGGGGCTGGGCAGAGCCTGGCATGCAGCCTGGGTACGGAAGGGAAGATTGGACAAAGGCCCCGCAGCTTTGCTTTCCCTGCCCTATTTCAATCCAAACCACTCAGGATTGACCACTCACGCATGGCTGCCTCCGGGCACAAGCCTTTTTCTCTTTCACTTAATACACTGTGACCTAGCCACCACCCCAGCTCTCCCAACTACTGAGAAACGAGAGCTGGCTTCAAAATAGCTGACATCTAAGAAGACTGGAGAATGAAAGTGTGGGTGGCACAACTCGGAATAATGCACAATGCAGTCCTACTATGGGAATGATGCCTCTTGGAAATAACTCCTCTGGATGCCCCCCCACCCCAGCTGGATCAAAGGGGAGAATGGGGCTGCAGACTGCCCAGCAGAAAAAGGGGAGAAAACGCCAAAGCTGTGGGTCCCCAAGGTGCTGTCTGTGCAGCAGTAAGGCCTAGGAGGGGCTGGTACAGCGGGGTGTCTGCAGGGGTGACTGGGAGAAGACAGTGCCACTCCAGTGAGAATAGGACAGGATGAGCAGAGCTGGCACCAGGGCACATCCCTCAGGCTAGGACACCAGGCTTCAATGTCTGGCTGCCCCGCTGATGCTGGAGACACAGCAGAGGATACAACTCTGGGGGACCTACCTACTCTCGAGGTCACAGAAGTCTGGTTCGTGAATGTGAGCACAGCTAGAAACCCCCATTTCAAGGATAAGAGATAAGCACAAAGGGGGGGCCGGCTCTGGTTATACCGAAGTAATAGCTCTCTCCCGGAGTTCTTGCTGCCACAGAAAAAGTGTCTAGTGGGAGGGGGCAGTGGGCAGGGAGAGGATAAACCAAAGGACTTATGCATGTAAGCATAACCAACAATAATGCTGGGGGGGATGGGAGGAAGGTGTCAATGGGGGGAAAAGGAGAAACATCTGTAAAAAAAAAAAAAGGAATTAAAAAAAGTAGTTTTTAAATAGAAAAAAAAGTGTCTAGAGGCTCCTGAAGCGTTCGTTTATTTTCCTTGCTGAGAACATACCATGTGGCTTACGGTGGGGTGCAGCGACGGATAAGATGGCTGAGCCCCTGCCGGGAACCTGAACAGTCTAATACTAGTTAGGTTGATTCATTTCTGGGATCAGAGTGGTTGTAGGTGCACACTTAAGATCCAGCCCAGCCCTGACTCTGGTTCCCAGAAAGACAACAAAATAAACAGTTCACTCTAGTTCCAGAATTCTGGCCAGTCCGGCAGAGCCTGGAGCCTCGCGCCCAGAGCCGGCGAGTGCGTGCTGCAGAGGGGGAGGCAACAGGCCAGACGGAAACCAGCCCCAGAAACAACTCACGCACAGATGCAGGGACTCCTCCGAGGCGGTCCGATTGGGCAATTTTCCAAAGGCACTCCCTGGAACTTCAAGGGTGGGTGTGGGTGTGGGTGTGGGAGTGAAGCTGAGATGAGCCCGCTGTCTCCTTCCACCTAGTTCACGTTTGACAACCTACACATCCAACTTCCTTTTCGAGATCACTGCAGCCCAAAGGGAAACACTTATCCAGGGCCATCAATAGCGAATAGCAGTTAAGTGTTCCCTAGGTTACAAATACAAATACAGCAGAGAATGCTGGGGGGGACCAAGATACAAGTGTGCAAAGGCCAGTGTGCCAGCTGGCTACGCCTCAACCCTAGACAGAAAGCCTAGGCGTTCTGTCTCCCCTGGGGTGTGTCCCCCACTTCCTGTGGCCCGGGGCTGGCCTGCCTGGCAGCCCTAGCAGACCTGGAATTCAAGCTGCCTTTCCAGCTGCTGTTAAAAGGCTCCCTTTCTGACCAAGCACAATTTCACTTCGAAGGGCCTGGCCTCCTCGGTCCTAGCCAAGTCTTTGAAAGCAGGGTGCTTTTTCCCCTTTTTTTCTTGAAGCATGTTGGGGGAAAACAGATGATGCCCTCTATTTGAGATCGATACGGTAATTATGTTGGACAAGCCCTTAGAAATGACTTCATGATGGATTCAGATAACCTCATGAATGAGAAAGCGTGAAAACGGTATTAAGAGCCAACATGTCACCTATGCCTGTGGAATGGAGGCCACTTGGCAACAGGATCCACTTCTTTGGGGATCAAGGTCCTGCTTCTGCTGGGTGGGACATAACAAAGGCTCTGTCCAGTAACGAGCTGGTGCAGATCCCAATTCTAAGAGCAGACCTGAGTCGCCCAGAAGAGGTCAGACAACTCCTTGACAAGTCACAAGATACATTCCTTCTTCCCAAAATTTGATATGGTTCAGAAAAGATACTTAAATCTCACGATATGAATAATATCACCAATTTGTCTGAAACATGCATTTTAAAAAAAGGTGATGAGCCCTGGGAAGGTGGCTCAGTTGGTTAGAGCATCGTCCTGATATGCCAAGGCTGCAGGTTCGATCCCCGGTCAGGGCACACACAAGAACCAACCAATGAATGCATAAAAAAGTGGAGTAACAAGTCAGTGTTTTTTTCCTCTCTCCCTTCCCGTCTAAAATC